AGAGTCCGCCGCTCCTGCCATAGCGCCAACCCCGGATGATGCTCCTGGTGCCACTACTGAAGACCAAACGGACGGGAAGAAGAAATCGAAAAAGAAGAAGAAGGCTATAACTCCTGTAGTTCCGGTGACTGTCGAAATTCCCACTGGTGTTGTACCAGCCGATTCCGCACTGTGTTTGGTGTGTCAGACGACGCCTCCGAATCCCCACATGCCCCTAGAATGTCCGATTCTCTCCCACTCCGGTGCTGATGCGATCAACATCGTCGAACAGCGTGTCGCAGACTTAGCGGCTACACAAGGGCCCACCAGGGTGCACCAAATGCTTATTTCTAGGCTTCGTGACTGGATAAAGGGACGAAAGAAGGAGGATGAGGTTCGTGGACGCTCGGACTGAAGTTAATGTGTACTCAAACCGTTGATATATATTAAATGTTTCTTTATCTCAGGCCCAAGCTGTGTTCACCCCAGCCGTTGCTTCGACACCTGCACCAACAAAAAGTGCCCTCAAGAGCCGAAAGAGTGCTACTGCAGAGCCTTTGGGTCTCAAGAGCCAGCCTATGGCTGGTCCATCGCGTCCCTTGTTCCCCAAGAAGTCCAAGCTGTCATCAGTTGCAGTCAGTCGCCAATCAGAAGGCAGCTCTACAGAGGACGAGGATATCCTTAATAGTGTCATGCGACATGGATCGGACTCGGATGCTGAAAGTGCAGAGGGCGGAGAAAGCGATGAAGAAATGGCTGACGTTACTGTAGAAAAGCAGAGCCAGCCGGTAACTACCCCTCTTGCCGGCGAGCCCTCGACCCCTGTGACTCCCTCGACATCATCTACACCTGCCTCATCTGCCTCGCCACCCGTCGTTCTTCGACCATTATCGCCCAACCCTGCAGACGCTATACGTCCGAGCCAGCGCATGTCCCAGTCTAATGTTCTTGCACTTTTGGATGACCTCGAAGCTGAAGAGGCCGGCCAGGCCAAGCAGAGTTCCGATTCTGATACGGAGGGGAGCGAACTGGCGCGGTCGACCCCATCTGACGTCGTACGTCGCCGGCACAGAAAAAGCGTGCGCATAGAGACCAACGATTCGGATGCAGATGACGAGGACATTGAAATGGGGGACCCCAATAAGGATTCTGGCGCGAAGGACGACACTCCAGGGGACAATGACCAAGGTCCGAACGATAACCCAGGTGGCCTTGAATCCTTGCGGCTCTCTCAGGCTCCCAAATCGCCTCAATCTCTTGGCAGGGATACTTTACATCTTAAGCAAGAAGACGATATTGAGGAGTATGAAAGCGACGCAGGCGACGACAAGGTGGTCCCTGAGGAGGAGAGTAGTTCATCGATTGAGTCACCTTCGGACCCCGACCCTCGCCGTAACGAGACCTCGAGTAGGGAGGAAAAGCCTTTGGAAAATGAGCAGGCTAGTAGCTCTGAGGCAGAGGAAGACGGATCAGAGGCTGCTCCTAACCCGCCCCCAAAGAGACGAGGTCGACCACCGCTCTCTCAGGCTGTCAAAGACGAACGCGCCGCACAGAAAGCCCGCATACTGGCTGAAAAACTGGCGACACGCACGGAGGGTTCCAAGAAGCGAGGTCGCCCTTCTCTTTCCCAACCGCAAAGCGAGGCCACCGAACAGAAGGAACCTTCGAGTACTAACAAGGTCGCAACACCTCCCACTGAAGACCCCGTCAATGTTTCCTCAATCAGTGCCGTTTCCGTCACTACCAGCAAGCCCAACGCCAACACGATGTCTGTCGAAATACCCGCCCCTAAAACCCGAAGCCGCTCGTTGTCCCGAGCCGCCAGTTCGCAAGCCAAGCCAGACCTATCCCAAAGTTCGATTCCTAGCTCCCAGGATGCTCCAGCACCTAAAAAGCGAGGCCGTCCGCCACTCTCTCAGGCCATTCTTGCTGAGCGGGAAGCGGAGAGAGAGCGAGTACGTGCTGAGAAAGCCATACAAAAACTCGAGAAAAGGACGGCCAAGGCGAACGCAAAGAGATCGAAGGATTCAAAAGGCCCCGATCCTGCGTCTGACGCAGAGGACGACACCAACCTCACAGCAAACACCACGGCACCCATCATGAGTCCGTCTGTTCCCGATAGCACTGCCCAGCCAGAGGAGGAACCTGGGAACGTATCTTACCCCGGATGGGAGGTTCTGAAGGCATCTACTTCGTCAAGCCGGCCTGGCAGTTCGCAGGTGGACGAGCTTGAGGCTAGCGTAGCAGATGGCGTAGATGCAGGCGAAAGTCATACGGGAAACGGCCGCCCGAGTTCGCAGGTACGAATATAAATGTGCGTGATATATGCGGCCAACTGACTGAGGTTTACAGAAAATTTCGTCGAGTATGAAACTCAAGTCACGCCAATCAGAAGACGAGTTGGAGGACATGCCGGATATCAACAGTAGAGCCTCAAACGGTACCTCGCTCTCCCGGCCGCTGTTTATGCCGTCTTCGGGACTGGTCAAGAAAACAGCTTCACGTCCCGTTCTACCACCTTCGTCTCCTCTCGTATCGACCCCCGCGTGGACGAATCGGGCGCCACCCCTGTCACAACAAACTCCTATTGGAACCATAGCCCGTCGACCTTCAATAAGCACTGCATCTCTACCACGATTCTCCGCAATCAAGCAAAGCCAAGAGCTGATGCGACAGTCACGCCGGGCCTCACGATTGCTAAGCAGCCAACCAGTTAAGCTCGAGCCTTCGCAGGAGCAACAGCCAGATGATGAAGTCATGTTGTTGGATGAGTCTTCTAGTGACGGGGACTCTTCGGGCAAGGAAGGAAACGCAACGGTCACGCAGTCTCAGAGGAAGAGACGATCTGCCTTCGATTATTTTACCAAAGACCCATAATAATTTATCTATCGCTTGCAACGCGCTTTGTTTATACTTGTCACGTGATGTTTTGGTGCACATAAATCAAATCGATTTTGCTCGAAACATTTCACCTCTCTCCGACCACTCCTATCCTTCAAACAAAATGGTGGTCGCACTAGCACTCTGGTCCCAGGACCTTGAACCTAACAAGCGTAATGTATACACTGTCGAGAACGATATCCGCATCTCTGGTGCCTCCCTTGCAGCGAAGATCAGCGACCCGAACGGCCGCACTGTAGTGGAGGTCGTTGTCAAAATCCCCGATGGCTATGACAGTGAAGACGTCCCAACTGATGAGGAGACCGGCGACCGCACACCTATGCACAAGTTTGTGCTGTGCGCGTTGACCGCCGGCAAGGTCAGTGCCTCTATAGCAATTATCATGCACCTCGACTAACGCACCACTTAGGTCGAGCAACAGCCCCTTGACCTCATTCTGCCCGAAGGTGACGAGATTGAGTTTGTCGTTACCGGCAAGAAGTGAGTTATTCCGCTTTGATAGGAAATTTTCTGCTGATCTGATATTTGGCATGACAGCCATATTCATCTCTACGGCAATTACATCCAACAGCTGGGTGACGACGACGATTCCGAGGACGATGAGGAAGACGAGTTTGACCTCGAAGATGTGCCTTCTGATGTCGAGATTGACTTGGACGATGCTGAGCTCGACGACTCGACGTGGGTTCTTTGTTCATCTCTGCCGGCGGTCCTCTGATACAATGTGTAATAGCCGCTTCGAGGAGATCGCCTCCCCTCCTGCCAAGGGTGCTAAGCGCGGGCGCGAGGATGAGGATATGGCCGATTTGTCAGTTGCCTCTGGTGAGTATCGTTTATTTGTTTGGTTGGTGCAGTTAGTGACCTTCAGTATCAGCTGCCGACACTTCTGCTGCTGGGCTCTCCAAGAAAGAGAAGAAACGCGCGAAGAAGCTGAAGAACGAGGCTGGCAAAGCCGCCCCAGCTCCTACAACCACGACCACTCCCACAGTTGCGGCTACGACGACGGTTGTGGCCCCTGCCGAAGGCAAGGACAAAAAGGACTCTGGGAAGTCCGCGGAAAAGAAGGAAGGCGGCAAGAAGGAGGGAGAGAAGAAGAAAAAGGTAAAGAAATAGCCGCCTCCTGCTGTCTCCGGCCTTGTCCTATTGCCTTGATCTCCAGGCAGGATTGGGTCTTGGTGCGTGATATACAAAAATTGTACAGATGTTAATCAATACTCTGTCTTTCTTTTGCTGCTTTCGTTACCGGGTTCCACTCTGTTCGTTCCTGTGCTAGAGCGAGCCCAAGACACTCCCTGGAGGCGTTACGATCCATGACAAGACGATCGGGTCTGGTGAGTTATCTTGTTAGTACCTGTCATGCGCATACCTTGGGTTCTGAATGCTAGGAAATGCTAAATAGGACCCGCCGCGAAGTCCGGAAAGAAGATTGGTATGCGCTACATTGGTCGCCTCAAGAACGGAAAGGTGTTTGACTCTAATACCAAGGGTGCGTCACCAAAGCAAGTGATAGTTGCTAATGCTAAACTGTGAGCGACGGACAGGGAAGCCTTTCTTTTTTACCCTTGGTGCTGGGGATGTGATCAAGGGCTGGGATGAGGGAATTCCAGGCATGCTTGTTGGTGGTGAGCGCATCCTCACCATCCCAGCTGCCAAGGCCTATGGGAAACGTGGTGCTCCCCCAGACATTCCTGCCAATGCCGAGCTCACCTTTGGTTAGTGGATTGCTGCCTTTGTGGAAACTTTTCCTGACGTGTAACCAATTACAGAGGTCAAACTTGTCGAAGTTAAGTGATCTACAGACGATCACACTGATGCTTTCCAAATTGTATTTAAAACTTTTAATGACGACACCGCATTCGTGGTCCCTTGCGTAAATGCCCTAGTCTAGAAATACGTTTCTGGATCAGCATTGCCTCCGGACAAAACTACGTCTCCCAGAAACATCTGAACCTTTGTGCCTCCATGTGATAGTTTCGTTTCCACTGCCATTACATAGATCGTGTTGAAAAATCAGTCCGCTAAGCTTGCAATGTTTTGCACTTCGTGTACGGTTCATTGCGATCTTGAGCACAAGCTAGTTGGAGTTGTATTAGAACTTGCGTGACCCGGGCTGCTTCTAGGCGTGGATAGTATAACGGTTATTATCCCGGTTTCCCATAACCTGGCTTGCTCTAGCAAGACGTCTACCGGGGACGCGAGTTCGACTCTCGCTTCACGCAAAGCTTTTTCCTTTCGATACTAAAGGTGATATGTAACCGAGTTCGCGTGTTTGTTATCACTGCATGCCACAGCTTTGAGGACTCTATAATTCATTTATTTTCATTTTTAGGTTGAGAGTATTTGATAACTCGCTTGATGAGTGAAACGGGCTATGAATGGCCGAATGGCGAAGCTGACGTCAGGGTACAGCCACTCGCTTCGACCAAAGTCAAATGGTTCAAGGGAAGACTTGCAAATCCCGCAATTCCCCCCAACGTGCCACCACAAGCAATCATGGCGGCCACAGCAGATCCTAGCCACTATGTTATCGAATGTGAGTTTTGAAATGTGTCTCATGGGTTATTTGTTAATTGATATATCCCAATATCAGATACCAAGCCTGGCTCAAGCGAAAAATGCAATGGTAAACCGCCCTGCAATGGAACGACCATTGTTCTCGGTGATCTTCGGTTCGGGACAAAGAAGTACGACGGCAAGATCAACGACAAAATACAGTACAGGAAAGTTTGAACCGACTGTGAGGGCCATCCATCTTACTGACGTGAAATTTAGACATTGGGGATGTGTAACTCCTGACATTCTTTATGATCTCGCCTTCTTGGATATCAATCGCATCCCTGGCATGGATAAGCTCAGGTAAGATCGCCATCTATTTGGCTCGAACTTAAGTGCTGATTGCCTCTTTGTAGCCCTATAGATCGAGCAAAGGTCCACACTGCGGTTCAACGCCTCACTGTAGACCCCGCCGATATCCCAGTCACCGCTAGACGCCCCGCTGCAGTACTTCCGTCTAGTTCTCAGGCTAAGCCTCCTCCTTTCCGGGCTGCAGCAGCGCCTTTTGGAACACAAAAGTCGACCGCTGCAGCCGCCCCAGCGCCGGTTGCTAGTACGTCCAAGAAGCGCAAAGCGCCTACAAAGAAAGCCGTCGTACCACCTCCACCCGTCCACCCGCCACCAGCCTCCCAATACTCTCAGCCTAGTTTGCCAACATACGCATCCTCCCAGCTGTCTCAACCCGCCTACCCGCAAGTGCCACAGCATTATCAGCATTATCAACAACCCGCTGCCCCGCCCGCGTATCCGTATGGAACACAAATCACTATGTCTCAACAGAAGCGGGACGATGAAAGCTACGGCGAAGACGACCTCTACGACGACGAAGAAACCCAATTTACGGACTTCTATTTGTCTTTTCAGTCAACCGTTGTAGGAATCCAGTACTACAATGGACTCGGTATGTGGTTTCTTTTATACCTCGGTAGTTGTGACTTACCCTGGTTCAGTCGGTCCTGGAGAGCAAGTGAATCTTGTTCGGGAACCACACAACAAATACGACCGGTACGTTTCAGCCCGTGTTACTCCCGGATGCCTCTTACCTCTTCACTGTAGGAATGCTATTCAGGTCATGAACATTAATATGAACCAGGTTGGACACATCCCGAGACAGAGTACGCAAGGTTTCAGCCCGCAACACACATGATTACTTATCGGTATGTTTTCAGCGGCCGCTAGCCTTGCACCTCTCATGGACCGTGGACTCATATCTGTCGAGGGAACTATGAATGACGGAAACTGTAAGTCTAGCTCGTCCTTCTCTCTGATTTCTGTTATAATTTGGGGTTTTTAGTACAAGGAAGCCAGTATACTCTCAACGTGTAAGTTGTATATGGTTATTATCGTGAACTGCCAGTCTACTAATCATCTTGTCGGCGTAGCACTTTGAGCGTGTACGGCAAACCCGGCGTTCGCTCCATGCTCGAGCCACTTCTAACCTGGGCTACCCCGGGTAGACGAGGATTCACCGACGCCATGCGCCTACAAAGCGGAGTCGCCCTCGCTCAGACTCAAGGTTATAGCACCCACGCGTCCGCCGGCCCCTCCTATGGCGCCGGCTCTTCACACAACCCGATGTACATCCAGAGCTCGAGTTCTTCTCAGCCGTCGAGCCAAGGTTCTCAAGCGTTGTCTCAAGCTCAGTCTCAAGCTCAGGTCGCTGCGAACCAAAGGGCGTTGGCCATGATTGAGGCACAGCGCAAGGCCGAGGAGCTACGTTTGATGCTTGCTGGACTCGAGAAGGTTGATGATGAAGGGCGCCGTTCGAACTTTTTGGACGCGTTGTATGGGAAAGAGGCTGAGGATGTGCTGAATTTGCCCGAGCATCCTTCCCCTCCTGGAAAAGAGGAAGGAAGCTTGAATGTCGAGTTGCTTAAACACCAAGTAGGTCCGATTTTGGGAGCTACGAATGCTGAGTTCGTTGAACTTAGATACTCTTTCTTACGCAGAAACAAGGCCTACTCTGGTGTATCAATCGCGAGAACGCCACGCTCCCTCGCCAAGCTGGCGAACCCCACCAGCAATTCTGGGAGTATCGTTCACCTCCTGGCCAAAAGGTAATACCTCCCTTTTCAACTTGCTGGGAAGTGACTTACAAGCTAGTTTCAATTCTAGGGGTACTATATGAATAGTAAGTAATGCAATTTTGCGAGCTTGTCACGTTCTGAAATCATCCCCTATAGTGATCACCAAGACTCCCGTTCCGCTGGACATGGCGCCCGTCATCGGTCATGGTGGAATTATGAGCGACTCGATGGGTCTGGGCAAGTCGTTGACTTTCCTTGCGCTAATCATCACTACCAAGCAGGCGCGGCCAGAAGGCTTTGATGGGCCAACACTGATTGGTGCGTCGTGCGGGTTTCTTTCAACAGCCATCTCCTAACACTTCCTCAGTCTGTCCCCTCTCGGTTCTGAGCAACTGGGAGTCTCAAATCTCGCAGCACTGTGTCCGCGGCGTTGTTTCCAGCTACACTTACTATGGAAACAACAGGAACGTCGACATCGAGACTTTAAAGGCGTACGATATTGTTTTGACTACCTACCAGTCTGTTTCGTCAGACTTTGAGCGCGCGGGAGGGTTCAAGACGGTCGAGCAGCTAGCTGCCGAGAGCGAGGCTCCTCCGAGCGCAAAGAAGCGTAAGGTTAATAAGGGGTTGTTTGAGATTCAGTGGAGGGTGAGTATAAATAATTGGCCTTTATGCTTTGTTTGTTCAATTCAGCTTACGCGGTGATATGTGCAGCGTGTGGTGCTTGATGAAGCGCACCAGATTCGGAACCCCAAGACGAAGATTGCTCAGGCTGTTTCAGCGCTGCCTGGATATTACCGATGGGTAGGTATCTCTGGTTGGGATGTGTCCAAATTAGCTAACTGTGATATGCGCGTGTGTTAGGCCGTGAGCGGAACTCCAATTGTAAGCAAAACTCATGATTTCAACCGAGTCTCACTAATATGTCTTGTTGCTTGACTAGGTTAACTCCCCAACAGTACGTAGTACTATGTAGTTTTGTGCGACCTTATACTGACTCGTTTCCAACAGGATCTTGGATCCCTCCTCGTATTCCTTCGAATGTGTTCGCCGCTGGACCAGATCGCCCTTTTCAATCGTCTGCTTGCTCGCCCCTTAGCCAAGGGCAATCCGGAGAGTGCAACGCTGCTCAAGGTTGGACTACACGCGTTCCTTCCCTCGTTCTGTTGCTGAAACTCGAATTTAAGGAAATCATGAAACACATTTCGATTCGTCGTTCTAAGGAGGTTGGTACTCAGCCTGACTCGTTGGATGGCTGATCCTGACAACTTGCACAGATGCAAAATGCTGAAGGCGAGCGTCTGGTCAAGTTGCCTGAGGTAAGTTGATACCACGAACCAGCTTTTAAGTACAAAGAATTGATGGGCCTGTAGGTCCGAGTCAACGTTACTCGTGTTGATCTGGATCCCGCTACTCGTCAACTCTACGATGCTGTTGAACAGTTGTCGAGAGCGCGTTTCCTGACTATGGCGAATGCGGCCGAAAATGGCGAACGGGTTCCGAACGTGGCTCTTAGTTTACTCACGCGTTTGCGGTAAGCTGTGTTCGACTTATTTCGTCTGCTGTGCACTTACGAAAGGGACAATCTAGGCAAATTTCGTTGCATGCCGGACTTGTCCCAGCAAACTATTTGGAGAAGCTGAGGTCTGAAGAAGCTGCTGACAATGCATCGAATGGGACAGTCACGGTTATGAATGCCCAGGAAAAGGCTAGGCTGCAGTCTATTCTGTTCCATGCTGAAGAAGACAGCGAAGAGGTGCGTTCTTTGGCTTGAATACCTCACCATGGCCCTAGCTAACGCTCTTATCCGTAGTGTGCAATTTGCTTCGACTCACTGAAGAACCCAAGGATCTTACCTGATGGACACTGTAAGTGTTCGACCCTTCAACAGTATCATATAGCTAACGACTTGATGTACTAGATTTCTGCTACGAGTGCATTGCCGGTCTAATCGCTGCTCACGGACCGGAGGCCACATGTCCAATGGACCGACGACCCATCGCTATGGAGGACCTTATCGAACCTGCTCCACCCACCACACTCACCCAGGCGCCTCGCCCCAGCGTAGATGATGGATTTGGAGATGGGCTTATACCCTCTCACGGGTCGTCCCCAAAGATTGAAAGTTTGGTTAGGATTTTGAAACTTATTCCCGAAGACGAAAAAGTCGTGGTGTTTTCTCAGTGAGTACTGCATCTCTCTTCTTTTTCTGTCTCGCACATTAAACGTTTGATCGATTGAAAGATTCACCACATTTTTGGAGAAGGTATGCTGCAATGAATACTCAAATGGAAATAACTTTCAAACTATGCCTAATGATTAGATTGCCGACCAACTTGAAATTAACGACATTTCGTTTGTGCAATTCAATGGCGCAATGTCGGCCAAGCGTAGGCAAGAGGTCTTGGAGGTTAGTACATGCCCATCAATCACATGAAACTCGTTTTCAACTGGCCTGTAGAGCTTTGCAGTTCCTCTCACTCCGCGATCGTCCAGTTCCCGGCGCGCTTCGGGGAACAAACCACCCGCAGGCTCTGATTCTGATTCGGACTATGTGGCACCACTGGACGATGACTACATTGACGAAGAAGATGGAAGCATCTTTACCAGCACTCAGGTCAGCAAGAAGAAAGGCAAAG